AAATCTCCCTAGAGGACAGGGAGATCTCCTTCATCAGATATGTCGTCATCGCTTTGGTGGGATGATGGCTGGGCAGCAGTCCCCAGGCTGCTTGTGGCTTCCATCAGCCATGCGGGATCAAACTCATCTGCCCCAGCTCCTCCCAGTGGTCACCACCTGGCTGCCCGGCAGATGTGCTCTCACCTGGCACTGTTGCTGGCCCCGTGCCTCTGTCCCGTTTGTCTTCAGCAGCGGCCACTGGTGCCAGTTCTGCCGGGTGGGAATTCCCACCCCTGTGCTGCCATCCCAGCCAAAGCTTTGCTCACTGAGGGGCTCCTCTGGGCAGGAACATGCTCAGGGCTCTGCTAAAGCTGGCAGCAGGCAGCTTGTTTGCATTTCAGGGTATGATGGCAGAGAATGTGGCAGAGGCACAAGGCAATGTGCTGTGGGTACATACAGCAGGTGACAGAATATCGACCCCACGTGAGGCCTGTAGCATTCTCAGGACACACTGGGATGCTCATGAGCCTGCAGCTCACTGTGTCCGTGTCCCAGTCCACAGCCCTGGTGCACATCAGTCCACTGGCCAGCCTCCCTCAGGCTGTCCCTCTGCAAGGCAGGTCCCTGGTCAGGGAGCTCTGGTCAACAGGAACGTGCTGCAGGAGGAGCTACGACCATGGCAGCTGTGCCAGACCAGTCTCAGCACAGGATCTAGGTGCCCAGAGCAGGGATCCCACCTGCTGGGATACTGTTGGGAGACATTAGCCCTGGAGTTGTGGGGGCCATGGGGACAGGGACTGCCTCAGTGCTTGGGAGTCCCAGAGGCTGGCGTACCTGGAGAGTGATGCTCTGAGCACCAGCAAGGGAGCATCCCCCAAAATGAGGGGCCCAAGACAGCAGGGATAGCACTGGTGACACATTAACCGGGCAGGGGAGGCAGCCAGGGGTAGAGTCCAGACTGGTGGGGGGGAGCACTGATTTCTGGGTCAAGGTCCATGGGGACACTGGACACTGCTGGCACAGGATAGACTGTGCTGCAATGCTGGCAGCTGCTCAGGCAGCCTCCAACACTCCTCTTCTCTGGGCTCATCTCCTGGGGACAGCACGGCGTGCCATGGCCAGCAGCGTGCTCCGCGTTGCCCCTCCGGAGGAGCTGCTGCGGCCCCTGGCCGTGCCCGAGAGGCTGCTGCTCGGCCCGGGGCCCAGCAACGTGCCCCGCCGCATCCAGGCTGCGGGCGCCCGCCAGCTCCTGGGCCACATGCACCCTGAAGTGCTGCAGGTGAGCTGCCCCAGCCCAGCTTTCCTTCCCTCCCCTCCTCTTCCTCACCCCCAGGAGGGGCTGGAACAGCTCTGCTGGGGCAAGAGGGGCAGTAGCAGTGCTGGCCAGTGTCCTGCTGCCGCAGGTGATGGATGAGATCAAGGCAGGCATCCAGTACGCCTTCCAGACACAGAACAGGCTGAGCCTGGCCGTCAGCGGCACCGGCCACTGTGCCATGGAGGCTGCCCTCGTCAACCTGCTCGAGCAAGGTGACACCGTGCTGGTGGCCATCAATGGCATCTGGGGACAACGTGCCGCCGATATTGCCAGGAGGCTGGGTATGCTGGGAACAGGCAGATGGTGTGGCAGGGCTGAGGGGAATGGGCTTGCAGGTGCCCTGGTTTGCTGTCCCAGTCCTGGCAGTGCGCGGTGACAGGGCTTACAAAACCAGAGAGCACTCTGCTAGAGAGCGCTCCAGGTTTCTCCAAAAATGCTGCCACTCCATTTGTGGTGCTTTATGGCTTTTCCACTGTGCAAACCTGCAGGAGGCCAGACTCTGGCAGGTGGCTCTGCTCCTGGTTCATGCGTGACCAATTGCCCCACGGAGCAGGTGACTGCCCAGTGGGAAGCATGCCCAAACCTCACTCTCCTCTGCCCAAATTCTTCCCAGGAGCCAATGTCTGTGAGCTGCTGAAGCTCCCGGGCAAGTACTTCACTCCACAAGACATTGAGCAGGTGAGTGCTGGCCACTGTGCAGAGGGCACCAGCTGACCTCCAGTGTGGTCACCTTCCCCCTGTGTCCTGCAGGGCCTGGTGCAGCACAGACCTTTGGTGCTCTTCATCACCCACGGCGAGTCCTCCACAGGGGTGCTGCAGCCGCTGGAGGGGCTGGGCGAGCTGTGCCACCGGTCAGTGCGTGGTGGGCACCCCAAAGTCACCACTGGGGATTTGGGCCTGGGGATTTATCTGTGCTGGGCTTTCCTCTGGCCCTGTTGTGCTGGAAGCAGTTGGTGCCAGTGAGACACGCGGCCCCTGCAGGGAGCAGGATGCCAGGGCTGCAGGCAGAGATGTGGCAAGAGGAGGTGGCAGGAGCACCAGGCTGAGCTCTGTCCTCCCACAGGCATGGCTGCCTGCTGCTTGTGGATGCAGTGGCATCGCTTGGGGGAGCCCCCGTCTTCATGGACCAGCAGGGTAAGAGCCACAGTGCCATCATGGGCAACCAGGGGACAGAGGGGCTCATGCCTGGGACAGGGAGAGAGAGCAGTGGGATCAGCCCCTCCACCTGCATTTTGGCTAGCAGCACTAGAAATTGGTCCAGCCTGTTCCCCTTGGGGGACATCAGCAGTGCCAGGCGCCCTCCCAAAGCAGCCTGAACATGAGCAGGACCTGCCCTGTGTGCCATCCTTGTGCCTCACACCCACCACTTGCAGCCAGGTTGGAGGGCTCAGCATTTTCCTGCTGGGAGCCTCTGATTCCTAAGGAGCTGTCTTCCCTCTTGGGGCAGAGATCGATGTCCTGTACTCAGGGTCCCAGAAAGTCCTCAACGCACCCCCTGGCAGTGCCCCCATCTCATTCAGTGAGAGAGCCAGGTAAGAGCAGCCCGGTCTCACCAGGGTGGAAGGCGATGGGGCTGGGGGAGGCTGTCACCTCTCACCTGCCTCTGTCCCACTCTGGGGGTAGAGCCCATCCCATCCCTGGGCAGTGGCTGGGAGCTGGAGCCAATCTCTGCACTCACCTTAGGGGAGTCCTCCCTCCCACCTTGGAGCTGGTGGGGTCAAGGTCCTACCTCTCCCCAGTGCTCTGTTTCACCAGGGAGAAGCTGCTGAGGAGGAAGACAAAGCCCCCATCCTTCTATCTGGACATGGGCTGCTTGGCAAACTACTGGGGCTGTGACGGGGAGCCGCGGAGGTGAGGGCGGGCTCTCCTCTTACAGACCGGGACAAGCGCTCCCCAGCCAGCCTCTGTCCTGGCTCGGGGCTGCCTGCCCTCCAGGGCTCAGGCCCTGCCTCCCCATCTCCCTGGCTGCTGCATGCTCACAACCCTCTGCACTGGGTGATGAGGAGGGAGGATGCTGTGCCTCAGTTTCCCTGGCCACGAGCACGGGGCTGCTGTGCTGCGCGCAAGCTGAACGCTGTGGGTGCCCCTCGCAGGTACCACCACACAGCACCCATCAACAGCTTCTTCAGCCTGCGGGAGGGCTTGGCCCTGCTGGCAGAACTGGTGAGTGGCATCAGGCAGGCAGGGCAGCACCAGCAGTGCCCGTGGGGCTTGCAGGAACCCTGGGTGCCAGGAGATGCCTGCCAGCAGCAGAGACCTCCTCTCTCCTCTCTGCCCACAGGGTCTGGAGAGCTCCTGGGAGCGACACCGGGCCAACTGCATCCTGCTGTGCCGGGGGCTGCTTGACATGGGGCTTGAGCTCTTTGTGGAGGAGGAGGTGGGTGCAGGGCAAGGCCACCACCACCACCACCGAGCGGGGCAGCGTGAGGACACAGCCCTGGGCAGCTGGAGATGTGCCTGGGCAGCTTTTGATGCCAGAGAAAAATCTCCCCGCTCCGTGATGCTCTCTCCTGGCACTGTGCTGGGGTCACCAGGGGCCGTGGGACTGACAGCAGTTTCTCTCTTCCTCAGGAGGCCAGACTCCCCACCATCACCACTGTCAGGGTGCCTGAGGGCTACAACTGGAAGGACATCACGGCCTTTCTGATGGACAACCACGGCATGGAGATCGCTGGGGGCCTGGGTCCCACGGTGGGCAAGGTGGGCACAGTCCTCCCCTCCTGCTGCCCACGGCTGGGCACAGATCCCCGCGTTCACTGCCACCCTCTGGCTGCCACAGCGTGTGGCTGGCACAGCGCGTCCCATTGCCCGGAGCAACGCATAGCAGCATAACCGCACACAATCACCTCCTAATTGAATAACCACGCACGTAATTAGCGGGGCGACACCTCTTTATAGAGAACGGTGCGTTAAATACGAGCAAGGGAGCTGCGCACAACCACTCCCGCCTGGCTGTGCGTCCCCCACTCCCTCCGCACGGGGCTGCCGAGGCACAGACACTCACCCTTCTCCTCCAGGTCCTGCGCATCGGCCTCATGGGCTGCAACTCAACCAGGGCCAACGTGGAGCGAGTGCTTGGAGCCCTGCGAGATGCCCTCCAGCGCTGCCACCGCAGCCGGCTGTGAGCACCCCTGCTGGGGGAGGTGGCCTGGCACTGCCTGGCAGCTGGCAGCAGAGGGACTCCGCTGCCTCCCTGGGATGCTGGCAGGAGCCACGGCAACATCCAGCAAGCCAAGGCACAGTGGAAAGGAGCTGGGAGAGCAGGGGACATGGAGGAGAGGGCCGTGCTCAGCAGATGTGAGACGTGGCTCAATACCACTCCTCCCATCACCCCCTAAGTCCTGGCCCCTCAGTCCTTTCCCTTCCCCTGGCCCCAGGGCATGGTGACCCTCAGCAAGCTGACAGGGGCTGGATGCAGGGTCTGACCACAGGTCCCTTCCCCTCCCATCACCAACAACCTCAGCCTTCCCCACCCTGCAGTGCAGAATGCCAGCCATCCCCCTCCAGATTCTGTACCACGCAGCACCCAGTGCCCAGGTGCACCAGGTGCTGTGTATGCCCCAGCTGCAGCAGGTGTGCTCTGTCCCCCGTACCACCTTTCCTCAATAAAATGACACAGCAGCACGCTGCTCCCTGGCCCTGTAGCTCTCCTTGCACCCCCCCCAGAGTTTTGAGACACCCCGATGGGGCAGCAGCAGGGTCCCACTCAGCTCTGCTGAGGGATTTCTTGGCGGATCCTGGAGAGGAGCTGGGACGCTGCAGCGCGGCGTGCACTGTCCTGGATCCGGTACACCTGAAACTAAAGGTGGGTGGGGAGTGAGGGGACAGGGCTCCCCGCTCTGCCTGAGCTCCATGCCCAGCACTGCCAGCCTCCCACACCTCCACAGCATGCCAGAGGGCTCGGTGGGGCCGACTGCAGCTCATCCCAAGCTTCCTAGCCCAGGTGGCTTGTGGTGCTGCCCCAGCTGAAGGGCTGGGGTTACCTGGCTGAGCAGCACGTCAAAGTAGGCTGTGTCCCAGCAGGACCCATCCTTGGTGGGGAGCTGCAGCAGGGCTCGGGTCTCCGTGTCTGCCTGGCAGCTGCCACTGAACCCGTGGAGGCCAAAATGGAAGCGCAGGAAGCGTTGGGGGTCCCAGGCAAAGCTCTCCACTTTATGGTAGAGGGAGGCAAGGTCTGGGGCAGCTCCTTGGAAGAGGTTTTCCTCTGGGTTCAGGAAGTGGGGCAGGTGCTGGATGGCCAGGCAGCGGAGAAGGATCACCAAGAGCCTGTAGACAGAGCCTTCCAGGTCCTGCCAGTCCTCCGGGGAGGGGAAGAGCTCTGTGCTCCACAGCAACACCATCTGTGAGGAGGGAGAGAAGAGCACAGGATCGGACAAGGCCTGATGCCGGGAAGGTTGTCCCTTCACACCCTGCAGCCCCACTTAGGCTGAATCCATGCGGGGTGGAGCAGTTGATACTTTTCTGAAGGCCAGATACATGTATCTGCCCTTTTTCTTTAAAAAAAACTCCCACAACCACCACCCCCAAAACATCAAAGAATACAGCACAAAGCAAAGTACACAGGATTTGGGTTCCTAGGAGGTGGAGCCACTCTGTAGGCAGAAAACATCCTTGCATTCTTCTTGACCCTTGGCTTGGAGAGCCATCAAAATGCAGGGCACACCTGGATTGTGCCACTGGGTGCTGTCCCCAGCATGGCCAGCTGGCATGGCTCCAGACTGTTGAAAACAGGCTGGGTGGGGAGAGGAGGTTTTTTGTCAGCAGAAATGCCACCCTCAGCCCTGTACAGGCACGTCGCAGCACAGCAGGGCATGGGGCAGCCTTGCAGGGTGGCACAGGGATGCCATCCCGCAGCCTGGGCCAGGGGATGATGCCCTGCAGAGCACCAGTTCTGAGCACACAAAGTGTCTCCAGCTGGAGGTTGCTGGTTCAGTCCAAGGAAGAAGGATCAAAGCCCTCTAATCACGGCTGGCAGCAGTACACATCCTTCCCAGACACAGCCAGGGGCTGCTACACCCCAGAGCTTTGCAGACCCTATTGCGTGGGTTCGTGTGCAGGGGAGCAGCCTTGGCTCTGCTTGCCCAGAGAGCCACGGTCCCAACCAGCAGAACCACCCTACCTTGAGGTGTTGGAAAGTGAGAGTGCCTCTCCCAGCCTGCCCTCCCCAGTCCTGGTCACGGAGCTGGTCGAGCAGGCGAAGGCTGTCCAGACGGGGCCCCTTCAGGGTGTCCACTCCTCGGAGCAGCTTCAGGATGGGAAGGTGACTGGAGGATCTGGAGATAGACATTGGGGTCTGCTGGGAGGGGAGATGAAGACTGCATGCTCCCAGGATGGGGAGAGTATGCCTGAAGTGATTTTTGGCTTCTATGGCACACAAGTGGTCCCAGACAATGCAGCACCTTGGATCTGCAAGATCCTCCTGGATCCACCTCCTGTGCTTGCCTCTGGCAAAGGAGAACTTCAGAGGTGTGGAGTGAGATGGGAACACTGAGGAGCAGCTCCTGCCTTCCCAGGAGGACCAAGAGTGGGGTGAAGTGTGGTTGTTCTTCCCTATGTGTAGTGGGGAGGGGAGGCTGGTTGGTCCCCAATGAGAGGCTGGGCATCCAGTTGGAGCACCTTGTTCCCAAAATAGATAGGGACTGGTCCAGCTGGCTGCTCAGCTCCTCCACAGGGCAGGCAAGATACATCAGTCCAGCCCTGTTTTGTCCTGCAGCCCACCTTGGCAGGCAGCTCTGCCTGCTGCTGCCATGTGCCAGGCTTTTCTCTGAAGCCCAAGCAGGGCTCTGAGAGCTGCCACCCTCTGCACAGTCAGGGTGCAGCTCCAGTGGATAATTTCAGGGGGCTCCTTCGGTTGCATTCCCTCTCTTTCCCTGAGCTGTCTGAAACTTGGCTGAGGTTTTTTTCTCCAACACAGGGAAGAGGGTTTGAGCATCATGAGGGGGTGACCTCAACCCCTGCTGACATGTCCCCGCCCTGTCCCAACCTCTTTTTGCCCACACCCAGCAGTGCTGCCAGCCAGGGGGCATGCCTGGCGCAGGGTCACCCCGCTGTGCAGGCAGCCGAGCCTCTCACCTCCAGCAGCGGGGAGAGGCAGGGACAAAGTGAGCCTCCTCCGTGGCCCTGCTGAGGCTGCCTTCGGGGAAGCCCCTGCCGCCCTGCCGCCTCTGGAGCTGCAGCGGCTCCTGCTGCCTCCTCACCACAGGAACGATGTCAAAGCGAATGGTCTTCCAGCTGCCGCGGATCAGCAGGGAGAGCTCCATGGCATCTTCCCGCAGATTTTCAGCACTGATGTCACCTGGATGCAGAGGGTTTGGCAGCAGTGAGCAGGTTAGCACAGCCGGTCCCGCAGGCTGAACCAGGTCTGTGCTGTAGCACCCGTGGCCATGTCCCACCCTACTCGACCCAGCCCTTCCCAGTGCTGCAGTCTGGGGCAGTTCCCCCGGTAAAATCCCTCTCCCAGCCATGCTGGGGTGGTTTTACAGGAAGAAGAGTCACAGGGGTCAAGGTCAGGCACAGCAGGAAGTCTCAAGCAATCAAACCGAGCTGTGCTTCTGGGTGGCTGAACAGTGCCAAGAAAAGCAATGCAGTCCAAGAAAAATGGACCAGGAAAGGTTCATTGCTTTCTGGGGGTGGAGGAAGATGAAGGTCACTGGCTTGGCCACGGAGGAAGGAGGGGATGCTGGACTTGCTGGGACAGGGTTAAGAGACTTTCAGACCCACTGGTCCTCTCACATCACCCTGTCACTCTGGCTGAGCTTTACTTCAAGAAGCACATTGGGAGATGGAAATGCATGAAAAGGGTTATGGAACAGCTATGGGAAATTCCCAGGATCCCCTCCCACCATGTCTTTTCCGAGGACACTGCTGCCAGCTGTGTGCTCACAGGGTCAGGCCCATGCCCCACGGTCCTGGTCCAGCTCTGATGCACTCCCAGCTCACTCTCCAAACAGCCTCCTCCAGAGAGCAGGGGGCACTTGGAGGCTGAGAGGCAGAGGGGAGAATGTGGTGAGGGTAAGCCAAGCACACCAAGTCCTTGAGCAAACCCTACCTGGGGACTAACAGCAGGTCTGGGTGGACTCTGCACCCACCAAGAAGGGCGCCATCAATCCCAGGTGAAGATGCCTGAGGATGACTCTGATGCCCTGGGATGGCAGGAAACAGTTTGCATCTCCCCTTCCTTAGCTGGGGGTAAAGCCCATCCCAGCACACAGCAAGGTGCTCGCTAACCTGCCCCTGCAGCTTTTGGGTGGGCCACATGCCCAGGAACATAGGTCTCAGCACGTTTGCATAGGGATCACTGCCAAGCTGGGAAGTTGGGCAGGCAGCTCCTGGCTGGGAAGCACCCTGCCAGTGTACCCACCTGGCTGAAGCAGGAAGAGGCGTTGGCAGTGCACGATGGCTGAAACAAGGAGCTCTTTCAGGTGCTGGAGGATTTTGCCTGGAAGCAGGCACCCCGCACCACCTCCGTGCTCCATCACATCCACACCACCAGTCCAGTCCTCCAAATCAGTCTCTGGAGAGCGCACTTCCAGGCAGCAGGTGTTCAGCTCTGAAGGATGCCTGCCCGGGCTGTCCCTGCTCTGGCATGCCAGCACACGCAGGGTATCGCCGTCAACGCGCAGGGGCACCTCGAGAGTGACAGCGTCCTCAGAGGCACAGAGAGCGAACTCGAAGGCTTCCAGGTTCCTGGCGTAGTCCACGAGGAAGCGGGGATCCCTGGCATGGACACTCTCCAGCAGGGTGAGCAGGATGTCCTCGGCCCGCTGGAAATGCTCCATGCGCTGCCTCTCGCGGGACACGATCACCCCGAGGTAGCTGTGCCAGAGGGAGGTGTTGGCTTCCATGGCAGCTCTGCTGCTGCCTTACGCTGCTGCGAGCGGCTGCAAAGGTGCGTGGGCAGGGAGGGCAGGGCCGGCGGGGGCGGGCGGAGGGAAACAGAGCCGGGCGGTGACAGGCACCGAGTGCTGGGTGACTCCCAGGGAGAGGTACAGGACAAACCCAGGGCGGGGGCTTGAGTCACACCGTGGCCCCTCTTCCGCCACTCCAGAAGGTGACAGCGAGTGCTCAACTGCTGGGTCACGCCAGGCAACGCTGTGCTCTCCCACAGCGCCCTTGGCACAGGGACTAGGTGCGGGCAGCACCCTCTCCCAGGCAGTGCCAGGTGAAGGACCCACTGTCCTCCCGGCCCGGCCAGCTCAGCCCTTCCCGCCCGGCTGCTCCCACCCTGGGCGGCACACACAGGAGCCGGGCAGGCTCCTGCTGGGGCGGGGCAGTGGAAGGGCTGCAGGACCCTGAGCCTGCCTTGCCGGTGCCCAGAGCAGCCCTGCAGGCCCGGCGCAGCTCTGTCAACACCGGGCTCGGGCTCCATCAGGCTCCAGCTCTCCAGGTGCGGCAGCCCCTGCTCCCCTCTCTAGCAGCGAGCCCGCCGCGCTGCACACACCGTGTTCCCTGCCGGGCTGCGGCAGGACCGACCCAGCAGGACGCACGAAGCGGGGTTTGTACCCCAAAGGCACCGTGGGAGCAGCGGGGCCGGTGCGGGTGGTCCTTCAGCCCCGCCGCTGCCGTGCCCGGCCCCGCTCCGCGCTCTGCGGCTCGCTGCATCCCGAGCTGCCTGCGCCCGTACCCTCAGACCTGCCCTCGCTTGCCCCCATCTCCCACAAATCCCAGAATGGGGATTTCCAGGCACGTTGTCTTTCTGAGTGCCGGCACCTTCCAAAGGTACGTTCCCGAGCTCGGCAGGCCGGGAGCCGCAGCTCAGGGGTTATGGCTGGAAGCTGGGCTCTGGCAGCGGGACTGTGTGTTCAGCCGTCCCAGGCTTTCCTGCAAACCCATTCTGCCTTGGTCAGGGCAGGGAAGGGACTGGGGTAGCGGGGGAGGCTCCGTGGCAGCAGGGCCCGAGACGGGACCACTCGTGAGGAAGGGAGGGAGAGCGCCCTGGGGCTCGTGGCCGCTCCTCCCATCTCCTGCGGTCACGCTTAACCTTTTAAACAGCCCAGATGAGGTTTCTGGATCTCCCCAGGGGTTATTTCTAGTGCCTCCTTCAGTTCCCGGTGAAGCCCTCACGTTCATCCACCCTTCTGCCAGCCGACTGAAGGAGTTCTGTCTCCCAAGGGTCAGAGCTTCCACCTGCACAGCATCCTTGGGCACCTGCAGTCCCAGTCATTAAGCCTGCACGGGGCTTCTCAATACCAGGAGGCTGCGGGTGCTCTGAGCTGAGGGGAATCTCAGCCAGATTTTAAACCCCCACAGCAGGTGATGGGCTCTGCATTTCCTTGCCTGAGCTCTGCACTTCAGGTTTCAGCCCATCTGAGCACGGGATGCTCAGTCCCCCACACCGATGGCTTGTCTGCCAGGGCTGAGGGGGCAGGTCTTGCCCTCCTCCATCATGTGGGAAAGACAAGCTGGCTGGCATCCCAGAGAGGAACCAAAAGCAGCAGACCCCCATCAGTGTGGCTTGGACTTATCCTGAAGAATGCTGAACCCAAGCCAGACAAGAGAGATTACTGCTTCATGCCCTGGTGTGGGAAAAAGAGGGCAGAGAGATGTAGACCACCACTTTTCTGGGGGTGGTGGGGCATGGCTCACTGCTGGCAGGGTTGCTGTGTGCCCATGGAACATCATTCTGTCATGGAGGGAGTCTCTGCCTCAGCAGCAGCCAGGACATTCCTTCTGTCAGTGCCTGGCAGGAATGATGGAGGAGGCTGTGGGCCTCATGCCGAAGCTGAACTGAGAGCCAGGAGTGGTTCTATAGAAAGGTAAGGCTGGGCAGGGCAGGGAAACATGGCTGTCCCCCCAGATGTCTTGGTGCTAGTGGGGTAACCCTGCCCTCTTGTCACAGTGTGACCCTGGCGTCCTGCAGCCAGAGCTCTGGCACCAGGAAGAGCCAGTGTGATGTGATCCCCGCAGCTCATCCCTGCACTTTTCAGACCTCTGGGTGCCACAATCAAGAGGTTGGTGCTGCAAATGCTGTCTTCCTGCAGGCTGGGACCTCCCCTTTTCCCCTTTTCCCCTTTCCCCTTTTCCCCTTTTCCCTTTCCCCCCTTTTCCTTTTCCTCTTTCCTCCTTCTGCCTTTCCCTTCCTTCTTTCTTCCTCTTTCCCTCCTTCCTGTTCTTCACCCTGTTTTTCTCCTTTCCTATTCCCCTTTCCCCTTCCTCTATCACTTCCTCTCCCCTTCTCATTCTCTCCTCTCCCCCATAGGCAAGGGGCCCTGGAGGAACATTTTCCTGGCTGCTGCCAGGCACAGGCAGCACAGTGAGTGACCCTGCTGCAGGCACCGTGTGAGGAGTGATGCTGGGCAGTGGCACATCTGGTGACAAAGCTGGCCAGCCAGAAGAGGTGGCAGCAGCTGGAGGTGCTGCCAGGTGCTGAGCAGAGCTCTGAGCAGCACGGTGCAGATCAGGTGGTGGGCACAGGAGCTCCGTGCCACGCGGTGAGTGGCTGAGCCCTGGCTGGGGCCACGCTGCCTGGGATGAGCCATAGGGCAGGGACAGTGCATGGGCATTTGGGGCAGCATCTGGACACTCAGCCCCACAATCAGCCCAAGCTGAGCACAGCTCCACTGGCCCAAAAACAACAGGAAAATATTCCTAGTGGGAAGGTCAGTTAGGCTGTGAAGACATGGCTGGAGTGCAGAGTGTCTGGGCAAGTCACCAGGGGCTGGTGGCAAGTGCCCTGGTACTGGCAGAGAGTCTGGCCTGAATGAGCTAATCACTGTTTCCATCTCGGCATTTTACAGTTCCAAGAATTTTTGATCTGTTAGAAACAGGAGAGAGAAAACAACCCCAAGCTAAAGGGCAAGTACGAGCAAGAGAGAGGAAAAAACCTGGGGGCAAGGGAGCACCTGGCACAGCAGAGGAGGGCGAGGAGCTGCAGTGAGCCCCCCGTGCCCCTCACCCAGCTTGCCTCTCTGCAGGGCTGTGCAGTGGGGCTGCTGCACGCCAGACCCTGCAAGAGGCCATCACCACCCAGCAGAAAGATTTTGGGGTGCTGGGCTGGTGGGGTGAGGAGCTGGCAGGCACAGGGGCGCTGGGATGAGGGAGGCAGGTTATACTCTGCCCCAGCACCAGCACTTCTGCACCCCACAGCCCTCCAGAGTGGCACAGCCCCCAACAAAAAGGCTGGGATGGGGAGGGGGGACAAAGGCAGGGAAGGTAGAGAGGAAGAGAGAGTAATTTAACATGACAGGCTGTTTATTTTGGCAAAAAGGGTCTCTTTTCAACAGATTTCAAAGCTCGGCCCCGAGGCTTGGGGGGGACCACACAGAGGGGTGGGAGATGAGGGGTGCGAGATGGGGGGGACCCAGACTGAGAGGGAGGGAGAAGAATCCCCTGTCTGTTCCTGCCTGGGGCACGGGCAGGTTTTCAAGGCCAGGGTGTGCTTGCAGGCTGCAGCGGGGTGTCGCCGAGGTGCCCACGCTCCCACGCGCACACGCTGGCTGCATGCACGCACACACATTCGCACGCTCCCCCTGCCCCTGCTCCTTCCTCCAGGCCAGGGCTCAGCTGGAGTCTTGGCTTCCCCCAGTGACATTTCAAAATAGGCTGTTTATTAAAATT